GCATCAAACAGGATATGAGGCTTATGCGTGCCCTTTCAAAATGTTTCAGCAGTTTATTCAACAGTATAATACTGGGGATTTTGTGTAAGAACAGGCTGATTATTTAAGAAAACATTCCCAGAGGCAATAACTTATTACAGTTACACTGAATTTATTATTATAATATTTGATAGAATATGTAATAGACAGCGACAGATAGCAACAGATGCATCCAAAGATAATAATTTTCACTTGTATTGACATGCCTTGACTTTTAAAATTCCCTTTTACTATTTAATACTCCCTATAGTTATTATCTATATATTTTTAAGTCATATTTGCCTTATGTACCATATGCCTCTGTCTTGGTCAATAAAATTATCAACATTACCAATTTATATGGAGACATTTACAACCACAATTCCCTCCAGATGTAACTTGTATAGAAATTTTATTTGTAATTGTAGTTGCATCTTCAAATTTGTAAAGATGGCTGCTGCAAATTAATTTCAATCATTGTTTTGTTCCCTCAAGGTTCATTGTACAGCTTTTGGACAAAAAGGTAAGATTATATAATTCACTAAATAGAAAAATTCAAGGATGCACGAAAAAGTCAAGATTTTGAAGATTTTTAGATCCGCTGTTACTCCCCTGACTCCTGTGTTTTTCCTCTGCAGTACCCTCTTGTGAAGCCAGTGGTGACTCCCCGCTTCGCTCTATCCTGCACAGGTGCTTTGCTAGGACAGCTGGGAGAAATCGCTAAGAATAACAATCTGCACATTCAGGTGAGCTCACTGTGGCAACCAAACCAGGCTATGCAGGGGATAGTTGCCATGTTGAGACTATTTAGTGTTGGCCCTTTGGGGTTTTTGAACAATGAAACAAATACACACATGCAACTTACAAAGGTAGAATCCCGACCAGGAATAACATCAAACAAATACTGTAGAATAGAATTTGTCGTGAGTTGATTTATATTATACAGATTTATTTTGAAGGTTACACCACAGATTCTCTTAAAGTTACTTTTTAATGTCGGACATGTGTGCGTTTATTTTCAGAGTCATGTCAGTGAAAACCTTGAAGAAGTGCAGCTTGTGAAGGAGCTGTTTCCTGAGTCATCGTCTTACACGGACGTCTATCACAAACACAACCTTCTAACTAACAAGGTGAGGATATAGTCACACACGCAGGCAGACATTTTGTGGACAAATATAAATGCGGATAAAATATCGACCATGTTTGAAATTATTCGTGACGATGCTGATTCACAGACGGTGATGGCCCATGGCTGCCACCTCAGTGATGAAGAATTGGCTTTGTTCAGGAGACTGGAGCCTCTTTGTCTCACTGTCCCAATTCCAACATTTCGTAAGTTTTGGAGTTTCTTGAAGCTATACGTGACAGAATGCAATCAATATTTATACAACACAGATTTATAAAAATAAAAATAGCCCTTAAGCAGTATATTATAACAGCATTGTAAGTGCCTTAATGCAAAGATATGTAACAGAACTTTATTGATTCATGTGCTGAAATTAGGTGCAGGTTCATTGTATTTGTTACCTCTGTCTCTCATCTACATCTCTACATGTGTCCAGGTTGTTTAGTGGAATGTTGAACGTCCGCAACGTCCTGAAACACAAAGTGAAGTTGGGGCTGGGAACAGGTGGGAGCAGAGCAACTGTGTTGCCAGAGTACTTTTGACAAACTTTGTAACACTATAAAGAATAAGTGAAATGACATTTGATGATTTGGAAACTTGAGCAGGGCCTGCTGCAGCAGTGAGACAGGTGCCAGGACATGTAGTTGTCTGGTTTTATAGCAGTCTGCCATTTTAGTTTTTAGTGAGTACAGTCAGCAGAGACACCACCAGCTGATCACTTTGTTTGAATTTTTGTGTCCAAATTAAATTAAAAAAAGAACATCTGGTGTAATAGGTATTTTAATCTCGGGGCTCGAAGTAGCATAAATCAGAAAATTTTAAATGGACATACTGTTTTTTCATACCCATAATACATGTTTGTGAATAATTGTGCTTGTATCTGCATGCTTTGACTCTGTGTTTGTGGTGTGGATCAGATGTGGCAGGTGGCTACTCGGCCTCTATGCTGGATGCTGTGAGGAGAACACTGGACACGTCCAAAATCTTGAAAATCCAGGACAAAGAACAAGACACGCTCACCTTTGAGGAGGCGTTCAGACTGGCCACACTGGGCGGCAGCCAAGGTAAGACACAAACTCAACTGTCACTCAAAAACAAGAGGTAGCCTTGTGCAGATAGTGTTCTGTCTCTTTATTAGTCATGTTCTCCACAGAACAGAACAATCTTTTTTTTGCTGAAATGTCTTTGCCGACTCTAAGTCATTCTGTATGAGAGCGCTGCAGCAGAGATTGATTCAAGTAGCTGTAGGAAGATGTTTTCAACAATGACTGATTGAAATTTCACAAGAGGGCAGATCATACACAGCTTTTTTATGATGTGTTTTGTCTGTAGCCTTGTCCCTGGATGAACAAATAGGGAACTTTGAAGTGGGCAAAGACTTTGATGCCCTGAGGGTGAATGTAGCTGCTCCTGGTGGACCCATCGACCTGACCCAGTGTGATGGACCAAAGGTTGGTAGTGGGGCACTGTCTTAATCTATTCGCACACATTTACGCACAAACTAATGAAAGCAGAACATTTGATTTCAGTGTAATGCTAATTTATCATCACTTTAATTTCAGATTCTTTTGGAGAAGTTCTTGAATTTGGGTGAGTGTCAGTTTCAATTAATTTCCCCAAATGTTTCTGACTTTGATGTGCCAATCACCATTTACTCAATGTTTGTCTCTGTTACTCTTTGACAGGTGATGATCGCAACATACTGGAGGTTTTTGTGGCCGGGAAGAAGGTGGTGCCCTTCACAGAGCCAACGCCACAATAAACGCCTAACACTCACGGCCTAAACCCTCTGGCAAAGTCAACTTGAAGAGGATTTTAACTGTTTGGTAGAGCTGAGCTTGAATTCAATCTGTCCTTTCTTTAATGGTAATTACTAGGTTTTAAAACAGGAATAAGAAGCTTCAGCGTAGCTTATTGCTTGACCTTTACAAAACATATTCATGTACCAGCACTTGCTGCCTAACAAGGCATTTGTCATGTCCTCTTAGTTAAAGTACACAGTGTTGTAGACTTGTTTTTTTTTACTTAAACAGCTTACTTCAACTAACAAATGATGAACTGATGCTGGCAGCTAGTGTGTTAACTGCAACATATTTTCCTTGCAAGACCATAAAGTAACTTTGTGCTGGTTACGTAAAGCTGCTCAGTGTAGCTGAAGTGCCTGACCTGAGAAAATACAGTGGCTTGATGATCCCATGTTCATGTTTGTTCTAGCTCATGCTAGAAAATGCTTTGTAATAAGAAGACTGGGACTGATTTGAGTTATTGTCATTCTGTTTTTATACTGCACACTCCACTCAGGTGTTTTGTGTGAAAAAAGGCTCTTCACTTAGTTTCAAGTTGACTCCTTTAGTTTATTTGTTTGTTTGTGTACATCAGATTGCAGCGTTCAGTGTGGTGAAACTAGGGACTCACGATACAAACTTAAAAGGTTGCGATTTCAGCGTTCTCTGTAGCCTACTTGTACATTTTATTTTAACATTTTGCAATGCCACTATTTGTCTGGTTTACCTCAAAATCCACATCCTGATCTGACTCAGTTAAAAGGGAAATTGCACTTAACCTGATGCCTTTTCAGAATCAGACTTACCTAGATTTGCTCAATTCAAATGTTTTATGACTGTGAATGTTGATTTTAAGGGACATCCTAATTAAATGTAGGTATGTATTTATATTGCTATAAAAACTCTCATGAATGTTGGAAAATAAAGGGAAATTAAATTGACCAATAAATTAGTAAATTAAAATATGTTTAAGAGAAGTTTACAAGTTTACAACATTTTATATGTTAAAGTCACACTTTGTACTCTAGCAGATTAAAATAAATAACACCATCAAGTCTGTCTTGTTTTTTTTTAAATGCAGTATATCTCTCATGCAGTTATTAAACAAGCAGCTACTTATGGATTAACAGACCAGTCTACAGCTTCTTTAACAGTTGGTCTTTACCATCTGGGCCAGAGAGCAGAGAAGGTGAAATGGCAGAAGAGAGACACGAAGATGAGTCATGTTCTCCTGGCAGCAAGTCAAGGCCTCTCCCTCCCACTTCAAATAGACCACTGAAGCATGCGCACTGTGGAGAAGAAGTATTTCCACCAATCCCAGCCACTAGAGGTAGACACTGTAACTCATAGACGTCAGATATCTCATAGGCTACTTCCACTCATGCAAGGTGGGTTACATAAATTACAAAAAAACAAAAACAAACATACTGTCGTACTTAACTTTGTAACTTTACTTGCAGCCAGTAAAAAAAAAAAAACAATAACTAGGAAATGGGAGGTTTAAGGAGCCCCCCAACACATTTGCTCATATATCTTTGTCGCCCACTAGCTATCTTTATTTTTATCTTATCTTATAATTGTATATGTAGGTAGGCAACATTGAATAGGCTATTCTCTGTCACTGCAGATACTGTATGTTGTAATGGATACACAGTAGGTGCATTTGCAGGGTCAGCTTACTCCTCTCCATTTAAAATCGGAACTGTAAGAAGTTGGCACTTTCACGTATTCTTAAAATCAGAATTTCCATCTTCGATGTTATAATAAACAGGTATTTCCGAGTTAAAACAAGGCATTTTATGTTGAGATGTATGCGATTCTGTGTTGGCTCAGATGTCTCAATAATGACTTACGCGAAAGCGTTAGTTTTTGTTTTGATTAAAAAAACAAAACCAAAGCATAGACATATTTATATCAATTAATATAAGCAACCTTTAAGTTTTAGGGAACATAGATGTTTCTTTTTAGTTTTAAATGTTACATTGCCCATAATATTACAGCCTACAAAATGGCATGTAAAAAATATATTTAGCCTTTAAAGTAGTCTTAACCTGTTAATGTGTATGTAAAAAGTTTTTGAAACTCCAGATCCGCCTTGAACATAGCTCCAATTCAGATACCTGAGAACTTATTCCCTAGGTGTTACCTTTCAGGGAGACATGTCCCCAAACTGTGTCCCACCGCTGTAGCAGTCAAATTGTCAATTTGTATTGACTGGTTGATTTAGGTTTGAGACCACGGTTGGGGTCCAAGGCTGCACCTTGATTATTTGGCATCAGCAGGACCGGCACACCCTGAGAGAGATGTGCCTGAGAGACTACGCTCAGGGCTGAAATATCAGGAAACGGTAATAGTCAGGAAGTGTTGCTGTGGATCGAGTACGAGGAAAGGTTAGGCTACACATTTATTTTGCTTCACAGCCCAGCCTACTGTTTCATTGAACGTTAAAGCAATCTCAGCAGGTAGGTCTAAGGATATTACGCTGTGCACATTGATTTATATCTCCCTTTCTTTCGGTCTATATCTCTCTACTCAGTTGTATTGACTTTATATGGCCATGAATAGTAGTGGGATCACACAGTCCACAGTGTCCCCCTGTGTCTCTTCTTAAATGTAAAAACATATATATATTATTATATATATATATATAACATATAAACAGAGGGACAGGTGTGTGAGCTCCTGTACAATTTAGACTCAGTACTATTGCATTTTTGATGAAGACTATGAGAGCTAATAGCATAACGTTATAACTGTCTACACCATGATTCCCAAACTTTCTGGCTTGTCTCCCTTTAAGACAAAGCAATGTCTACTTTTCACCCCTCATCACATATCTCAACATATAACTACTGGTTGTAACATACAGACTTTTGTAACCAGTTCAATTAAAACGTGAATCCCCCCTCCCTTTTACTTTATCTCTATGAGTCTTAAGAGGTATGAATCGGCCAGTTATATGCAAGAAGGATTGCAAATTGTAGAAGAGAAACTGAAAAAGTACATTTTTGGCATCAGAATCTTTTTCTCTTGTCTATCCTGTTAATCATCTCAATCAACATTAACGCTAAAAAACAGCCCCTGCTGTTCAGCAATGCCTCTTTTTCGGGCTGTGGGTAAACGTGGGGCGAAGGCTCAGCCCGGGCGAAGGAGGATGAGGAATACGGAGTGGATGGGGGGCTGCGGGAAGACAGATGAGGATGGCTGTGTCCTGTCCTTGACACGGCTGTGTCTGCTGAGCCTTGCTGACAACATGAAGGAAGTGTGGGTGAAAGACTATGCCGACAAGTACCTGGATCATTACTCCTTCAGACACATCATGGGGCCTTTCAACTTACTGCGTGAGTTTGTCGGGACTTAGTAACTGCAAAACCCTGATTCACTGTATCAGCAAAATTCTTGATAAAAAAATGAAACTGAATGTCTGCCTGTCATAGGAATTAATTTATTTACTGAGCCAGGGTTTCCATGTTTTTCTTAAGCTACTTCCTCATGTACTTTCACAAATGTGGTTTTTACAACTCCACTTTATCTACAGAGTAAGTGATTTACAGAGTGAGCACTTCTAATCCTACTACAACATCTCCCCATAGCGGGTGAGCTGGTTGAGGAGCTGACTTGGCTGCTATGCACCAGAAAGCAGTTGTCCCGGGCAGCCCTCCACCTCCTACTAGTCCCCCAACTCCGTGGCCTGTCTCTGGAAAGGTGTTCTAGTCTGGTGTCCTCTGCTCTCTGTTTCTACATTGCTGCACGTTGCCAGGTCAGATGGAATCCACTGCTGATTGCATTTGCAAACCAGAGCTTTTGTATATCTTGTTACTGTTAATAACTTTTCACCATCTCTACAATTATTGCACTTTGAGTTTTTAACGGTTGTATGTGTGAATATCCAAAACTATTAAGGTGTGTGTGGCCAACCTTTAAAAGCCTTAAAATATATAGTTTTTGTTTTTTGGTTGTCCGGGTTTATAATTTTGCAGAAAAAAAGTTTATATAAAAATAAAGTTACCAAAATAAAAAACTTGGTGGTTCCCAGCCTGGGTGTGTCACCCTAACTCCCTGTAAACAGGATTGGTAGACACAATTTAAAAATCGGATCAGGATATTAAAAGTTGTTTTGTTCTTTTGATGTCTTATGTCCAAGCCTATACCTCCTTATTGTCCTTACATTTCCTCCTTTTTGTCTCAGGGTCTATGGAGTCTGGACCTATCTGGGGCCCAGCAGCTGCCTTCAAAGGCCCTGTCTGAAACGCTCTGCTGTCTACCTGCCCTGCGCTCGCTCTCCCTTGCTGGTACACCTTGTGACAGATGTGTAATCAGGACAATTGCCCATTGCTGTCCTTTGTTGCGCCATCTGGACGTATCCCGCTGTCATTTGCTTTCCCCTGCTGCACTACTTCCTCTTGGAGGTAGGACTTCAATTACATCCTCTGGCCCTCCATCTAAGTCATCTTCTCGCTGCGCCTCTACATCCCAAGCTTTTGTTCCCCCTTCTTGCTCTGCACCCCTGTCTCCTCCCCCCCCTGAGCAGTCTGCTGGCTCTGGATATTGGCTTTGGGGAACAAGAGGGAGACCGTGTGGCGGCAGCAGCCTACCTCCTCCTCTCCCTGCCCTGCCTAGAGAGAGTGGCCTTGGAGGGCCTAGCGCAGGCCTGCTATCTCATCAAGCACAGGGAGTTCGACCAGACGGAGGGGTTCACCGACAGAGAAGGAGCTCCCAGGCTGGTGGAGGTGTGGAAGGAGTGGAGGCGCAGGCAGAGCATGGACAGTTGGAGGAAAAAGAGAGAAGGAGCAGCAGCAGAGGACGAAGATGAGGAGAAGGAGGAGGAGAGGATTTTGTGGGAGCGGTGTCGCAGTGAGAGTGAGGAAGATGCTAGTATTGATGAAGGGCCAAGTGGCTCTCACAACCAAGCAGAAGAAAAAAGGAGTGGCATAGTTTCATCACAGTCGGGAGATGAACGCCTGATCCTGCGCCTAAAGGACGTCAAGTGCTTAACATGTGACTCTCTGGACAGTCTAAGTCATTTATGTCCAAACATCCACTTCATATCTGTGAATGTTGATGATTATGAAGATGCTAGAGGAAGAAGTCTAGGGTCTCTGTTAGCTGCAGGCCTCCAGACATGGTCAGGCCAGCTGCGGAGCTTCTCAATACACTACCCAGGCCCTCTGGTGGACCTCCTTCCTGCTTTGCAGGTTGCAGGCTCCTCCTTGATCTCCCTCACCCTGGAAGGGATGAAAACCAGCCCTCACACCCCTCTACTGGAGGTCATCAAGGCCTGTCCCAGACTCAGAGACCTGTTCATCTCTGCTGAGCCTCCCACCACGCCACAGGAAGAAGAAGACGATGAGGGTCAGCGGGATGATCTGGATCTTCCACGGTTGCCCAACCTCTGCTCTCTCACACTCAAGTAAGGCTACTATTGAGGTACACTAGATAGTACATGAGGAACTATTGACCCTTGCTTAGGTGTCCACATCATAAATTGAACAACTGAGCTGTATGATGCGCTAATGGTGTTTCTCATAGATCTAATACATATCTTAGTAATTACAGTAAAATGAACATGGAAGCAATCAGAATAAACTTTTTTTCCTCTTGACTTAGCATCATATCAAAAGAACCGCTAAAAACATGCAACTAGATGTGGTGACAGGAAGTGGAAGTAAGCACCCAGCCCAGCAGTCACAGCACTGCACTGTTAAATCGATTTTGAACAAAGCACATGATGAGTTGTTCAGTTTGCCACGTGCATTGACTTAGACCATTTAATTATATTGTTACACACTTAAGCAATAACCTGTGTAACCAGGCCTTAGTTTTGTCTCTAAGGGAGATTAGAGAAATTGATCACATAATTTCAGTCTGAATAAATTGCAAAAAATCAATTCTTAAAATATCAGTTCAGTTCAGTTCAATGTGCTTTATGGGCATGAATGTTTAAGTTAAAGCAGCAGTGCTGATCACGACACTTGACAAAGGTCACAGACACCTGTCATCATCCAATCACAGATCCCTCTCACGCGCCTCATTATACGAATTAATGTTAAATGCAGATACTGTGGAAATTGACAAGTGAAGTCTCGTAGTGTATCACTGTCAAACAAGAACTCAGCTAGAACAGCACCGACTATCTTGTTAAGCTAAGTGATGCATTGTTTCATGACTCAAATGTTGTGAAGAAGATGCACTTGGTAAGAACAATGATCACAATGAATGTTTTAGGACCAAAGACCGTAGGATATCCTGAATTATCTATCCCTGACTGACGGTGAGACTGTGTTTTACTCTGTTGCCACCGGCGCCTCAAACAAGGGAAATTGTTTCCAATGTCCTTGAGATTTTTTTTTGTGTGTCTGATGAAGTTACTTGACTTTTATGAATATAGTGATGAAACTGCAAATGGTATTCAAGTTCTGATTAACTGCCTGAAAAAGCATGAACTGGAAATAAAACACATCACAAGTAGCTATGTTCTTTTTAGTTTGTCATATGTACATGAAGGGGATAACCTTTTCTAACCTACAGTGCAAGAGTCACAAGTGTTTTGTATTAGACAAATGATAAAGGTAACAGGTAGTGGTTCAATTAAAGGACCGTGTTAAATGTACCTGCTGTAAATAAACTATTATTAAACCTACCAAATATGTAATTAAGAGATTAGCTATCATTATGACAAATTGCTTAAAACAATATACTGTATATTCACAAAAAAACTATACCCGCACTTCTGCAGCAGGCCACTTTTTGTCCCTTTTTTCATAGCGACAAAGTTAGCAACACTACCTGAAACTGCCCTAGCCAATTTAGCAGTTATAAGTTACAACAATAAAAATAAACCGCTGTCCCTCAGGTTGTGACAGAAGGACACATACTTGTCGGCAAGGTTTGCCGTACTTCAAATATTCTGTAAGCACAACCCACTGCATCCAACTCAATCCTATTTTAATAAAGTTCTTTAGTTGAGCTGAGCAAGTAATTGGCTGAAATGAGTATCCGGTACAGACAAGTCATTTTGTTGGTTGAGACAGAGACAGATAATTGTTTACTTGCTCATCCCTAGTCTTTAGGTGAAAACTACCTTGATTTCCTATTAAAGTAATCTTCTTATTATTATTATCATCTTTGTGTCTCCTATTTGTCTAAAGATTCTCCTACGAGCACAGCCAAATGAAGCCTGTCATATCCTGGATGTCTTTGAAGAGGGTGCTCAAGTGTCTCCTGACCGGTTCTCCTTTACTGGAGAAGCTCTCACTCGTCTCCCTGCCGTGCCCTCTGAACTGCGTTTTAAAGGATGTGCTAGGCGTAGTAGACTCGGACCTGTATCTCTTTGCAGATTCCACAGACTTGCCCCCCACGCCACTTGGACGGGTACAACACATTGAGCTGCAGCGGACAGATGTAAAGATGATGACAGTGAAAAGTATAATGCAACAGAGCAAAAGGCTCAAATATGTAGATGTGAGTTACTGCTGGCAAATCAGTCAGCTTGACTGGTTGGACTGCGAAACATACAGTAAAGTCCACATTGTCTGGTTGTGATGAAGAGACGGGCAGCGTCCAATACAGGAGCAACACTGCTGCTGACAGTGGATAAATAAGGCTTTAATGATTCAAAAAATAAAAATATGCACATTTTTTCCTTTGCATTAAGATATCCGCTTGAATGACATCAACTCTAAAACTTGTTATTTACTAACTAAAACAATGATTGATTGCCCCAAAACATGGGGCTTATTCATACACTGTAGTGCCTTGAATGAATTAAAAAATGTATCTTCTGTATGGCATTTTAAATAAATCCTTTGACTATCATGTTTTTCTAAAGTAATGTTGAATTGAACAGACAACATGTGCATGACAACAATGTGCTGTATATTATGTCCTTTCAGTACACGATCAGTATAAATAATATAAGATTAATAAGAAATACATCTATAGACTCATTTTTTAGTTTTCAGTTCTTTGATTTAAAACTGATATAGACAGAAGGTAACCACATGGCTACCTCTAACTGCTATTTTAAGGATTGCATCTAATAGCCAAGCATCCAAATTCATGTGTGCTTATTGGGATGATTAGTATTGTGCAGTATTACCAAAGCATATAGCACAATCCTGGCAATGTAACTATAATAATTCAGAATGTAAGAGCAAAAAATACAAATGGTTTACAGTATTATAACACCAACATGTTGATGTTACAAAGAAAGACAAATCATTGAAAACAAATAACATAAGACATAACAAGAGGCTATGATAGTTTTGAGATATGGTTTAAACAGGTGAATGGAATGATAAAGGTGAGAACAATAGAAGAAACGAGATAAACATCAATAAAAGTCAGTAAGTCAGTGGAAAATGCATCATGACACAGCCAAACATACTTCATGGAAATATAAACACCTAAGAGGGAGACTGTAGGGTGGATATTTTATGTCACTGCTGGTGACCTTTAGAAATAAGGGGGAGGACATAATCTTTAAAAACTTACAAAACACATTGGACTCCGAGTAGAGAACTAGAGCTTTTAACCGTTTCTGTACCAGATACATTGACTAGACGTCGAGGACAGCAGTAGTTAGGCCTTTATTAATTTGTTGTTTTTTGCAAGGGACAATTCAGCAGTCACTGGATATTGGTAGGGTGTTTCTACTAAATGTTAAGCCCTTCTGCACTGCTTGAGGATCTGCGAATGGACATCCCAGTCCACTTCAACTTTCTCTTCTCTGATTCCACTGTGGAAGTGAAAAACAGGAAGGTAAATAAAATGAATAGTAAGAATAGACATATATAGATAAATATCAGTATGGTCCACTACTTATTTTTTGGTAGGGACAATTCAGCAGTCGCTGGACATTGGTGGGGGGTGTCTCTACTAAATGCCCTTGGGACTGCAAGAACAAAGTTACTTGAGAGAAATGGGATTGGTGACTTGTCAAGTTATTGTTTCTTCCCTGTGTTGTGCCGAGTTCTGCAAGCCCGCTGAGAATTGCATTCTTTGTGGGGTTCATCAATGATAAGCAGGCCTATGTTTTCTGAACGTTTCGAGTCATCAACATTTTTATTACAATCAGTAGGCCAACAAGTTGCATTCCTTGAGATTCAGCAAAAAGATGTGTTCATATCCCCATTTGATCAATGTGCACAGCAAAGTGTCTAAAAAGGACTCGTGTGCTTTTCTGTGCATGAGCGGTACTTCTCCCCACGTGCATGCAGAACTCGGAACAACACCTGCTCACATTCCAGCAAATAGGTGGCGGTAATGCGCTTTAATCCCGGTTGCAACAGCTATTAAATGAAAATGAAGAAGAGAGGAGTACTGGGCGGGTTATCTATTTTCATCGCTTGCTATCCGGGCAACGCGGAGATAGAAACCAATCACACCGCGGTCAGGACATCCACGTCACTTGCCAGAGACCTGCCACATACTCGTCGTTCAACGTTAGCCAGCGGTTATCATCTGGCTGCTCAGAAATGTGAATTTTTCCAGAAAAGGATGGGACTTTTGACTCTGTTGTTAGTAAGTATGAAGTCTTTTAAAGGCCACGAACTTATAGCTTTGCTGTGTTGAAACTGACGGTGTGTAAAAACTAGTCTAATCCAGGCATTTTAGGTCGCTCCTACAGCCAAACGCAGCCACTCCACAGACGGCGGAAAGCACTCCCGTTGATGTTAGCTTGCGTTACCTGCTTTATGTTTTAACAGCTGTGTTACTCCGCCGTCATTACAATTTGAATCATTTCTGTTTAACGCTACAGTTTAAATACGTTAATATTTGCCCATTACAGCGTCGACATGTCCCAACGAAACGACGATATACTAGTCAGAGCACTTCGTCTAACGTTAGGCCTGTGTAATACAAGAGATCAGAAGTTGTCTTGCAACAGTTAGCCGCGTGATGTTAATATTTTTATATATATTTCCCCATTCAAAAGGTCATGATGACAAGTGAGGAAAACGGGATGGAACAAGCCAAATCCCCCTCCTTCAGCCGACTGATCGTTGATATAAACCGACAACTAAACCTAACCAACAAGTAGAAGACATTCTGCATCATGGGAAGGTTGGTTTGATGTCATTTGAGGGACTGTAGATTGATTTGTGAACTGTCTCATCTGTGACATTAGTATGCATCCTTTTCTCAGGCTCTGCTCGTTTTTTATCTGTTGACAGGATCAGCTTTTCGTGCCTTTTCCCAGCGTCATGGCATTTCAGCCTGTCCTCCCAGGTTCTTCCTCGGCTCCTGATACCTTCCCTCAGACAGCTGCTCTTCATCGGCCTGGTACTCTGCCTCATCGGTCTACTCTACCTGCTGCTCGTCACTGGAAAGGGGCACGGCAGCTGGATCAGAAAGGAAAATCACTTCCACAGGTAAACAGCTGCTCTACAGGTGCTCATGTTATAATGAACACAGGCAATGTTATCATAACAATTCTTGGTTGTCCAAAAAGGCATTTGGCAAGGGTGACTGATGTGGATGCAACAGACACAAGCAACCCCAACCTGAACTATGGCCTGGTGGTGGACTGTGGCAGCAGTGGCTCCAGGGTATTTGTGTACTGCTGGCCGCGGCACAATGGCAATCCCCATGAACTACTGGACATTCAGCAAATGAGAGATCAGCACCGCAAGCCAGTGGTCATGAAGATCAAACCAGGTTAGACAAGCAGTGCTTGGCTTCTCATTAATCAAAACAGTATTTAAAGGAGCCATCTTGTTATTTACCCACTATAAACAATGTTATTTCTTTGTAGGTATCTCTGAATTGGCTAAAACCCCTGAGAAAGCCAGTGATTATATCTATCCACTGCTGAGCTTTGCAGCCCAACACATTCCTAAACATAAGCACCAAGAAACACCCTTGTATATCCTCTGCACAGCTGGGATGAGAATCCTTCCTGAAAGGTACAGTTGTAAACTTACACTACTTCCAGAAACCCCAGATCCAAATATAGCTGCAAGAAATGTTCAGACCGCAGATTTAAACGGCACCAAGTTACACTGAATAGGGAAAAGCATTGATGTTTAAAATGCCATACAGTTTCTGATAAAGTTTCTTTGTTTGTTTAATCTCAGTCAACAAGAAGCACTTCTTGAGGATCTGCGAACGGATATCCCAGTCCACTTCAACTTCCTCTTCTCTGATTCCCATGTGGAAGTGATTTCTGGAAAACAGGAAGGTAAATAAAATGAACAGTCAGAAAAGACAGGAATACATATCAGTATGGTCTACTAATAGTTGCAGCTTTATTAAGATTCATGACTGTAAAACATTTTGATTATGGTTAAACATTTCATATAATGCAGTAGTTTAGATCCATCACTTCATGTGCATTGAAAGATTCAAATTAATTTGGGAAACAATAGAGCATTTTCTAAATTATGGGGTTCTCCACTGTACTGTAGGCCTAGTATTGCAAGATGAAGATGCTGGTATAAGTATATATTCACACTGTGTCATCATCGGGTTTAGGTGTCTATGCATGGATTGGAATCAACTTTGTCCTTGGAAGGTTTAACCATGTGGACAGTGGTAAGTACCCAAGGAAGTAATGTTTCAGGAGTGTACCATTTTAAAACGTAAATTTCAGTTTCGTTTTTTGGCATTAAATGGCTACACAGTGTTCTACATTCTGCAGTCTGCATGGAAACATGCATATGATGTTGGGAGGCCTTTCCACTCTACCACAAAAACAAATGTGTAGCAACACAGTAATCACATGATATATCCTCCCTGGCTGACTCTTCTCATCTGTGAACTGTCAATCTTTCAAGATGGGGAAGCTGTAGTGGACGTACAAGTCCCAGGCAGCGATCAACAGGAGACAATGGTTAGGAAAAGGACTGCCGGTGTCCTGGACATGGGTGGGGTCTCCACACAGATCGCATACGAAGTGCCCAAAACTGTAAGCTTTGCTTCTCCACAGCAGGTTATTATCCACAACCAATTCTGTTTTTGTGCCGTCTCTGGTTTTTGTCACTCACCCTTTGTTCTTCTCCCTCCTTCCAACCTCTGTCATTCCCTGGTTAAACCTGTATGCGCCATTTTTGTCCCGTGGAGATGACCTGCTCTCCATTCATCACTATTGAAGGCATACTGTAAGCCTGCTGCATGACTCCATAGCAGGACTTTTTGACTGAGAACATTAAGTACTTTATGTAGGGGCTGTCAAACGCAGTGGAAGTTGTCCGTTTGTGTTGTTGTGATTTTTGTACGAGTGGCAGGTTTGGCACAACCTGCGTGTCCATTTTGCTCTCATTCTTTTCTTTACACCACGTGATGTTCATTTGAATTTTCACTCTCCTCTTGTTCTGTAGTTTCAGCTTGCTTCTATTCTTTGATGTTTTGAGATACATTAAACTAGTCACAACAATTTTTAGGTTTACTCTTATGTGGCCTCAAATATAGGTGACCTGCTTTAATAAACAATTCATGTGTTGCATGCCAACATATGGATATTCACGTGTAATATACGGGTGGGGTCATCATTTCCAGGCTGATTTCTGTTTGTTCCCTAGGAGGAAGTTGCCAAGAACTTACTGGCGGAGTTCAACCTGGGGTGTGACGCACATCGTACAGAGCATGTTTATCGTGTTTATGTGTCCACCTTCCTGGGTTTTGGTGGAAATGCAGCACGCCAAAGATATGAGGAGAGCCTAATCAGAAATACCGCCACTCGAAACAAGTAAGATCCACAGCCAGATCTAATTGCTGGATTAATTTAATTGGTTTTGGTATTTTTGGAAATGTTTCCTACCAGTCAGTACACATTTATTTACACTGAATGGCTGATTTCTCCAGGCTCTTAGATCAGCATATTGGTGAAACAGCCGAGTCTCCCCTCCTGGATCCTTGTCTACCCACAGACCTGCAGGATAACATTGGTTCATCTACACAGAAGCTCTATCTGCGAGGCACAGGAGACTTTGACCAGTGTAGACAGATTCTCCAGCCGTTCCTCAACCGTACCAATGAGACCCAGACCTCTCTCAATGGTATCTACCAGCCACACATTGATTACAGCAACAGTCAGTTCTACGGCTTCTCTGAGTTCTACTACTGCACAGAGGACGTGCTGCGTATGGGCGGGGACTATAACGCTTCCAAATATACCCGGGCTGCCAAGGTAAACCCTACATAGTTGCATATCACATCTACTTGCATGAAACATGCAATATATACACTCAACAAGTAACTTATTATTCTCTATGTTTCTTAGAAAGCTTTATCTTATTTCCTGGAAAAAAAAAGAAAAAAAAAAAGGCACCACTCCATTTAAGTACAGTCTGTCAAAAAGCTACTCATCACACCATCACTGGCTATTTTTATTTTGCTGTGTTCAAGACGTACAGTGTTTTCTTCCTCAAACTGTTTCACTTACCATCTGAAATAATGATTTTAAGACACACCTCTTAAGTTTTTCAATGTTAAGGTCATTTAGTTTTACGTAAAAGGCATGTGCAGTATTTGGTTTAGGATAGGATTAGGAAAGTTCTAAACTTTCTACAAAGCCTTCTCTTATCCATCTATCCCTTCCTCCCTGATAGGCCTTTGAATTTTGTTAGTATAATTCTGCTGTATTTTAATAGTATTTTGTAGCAACAGAGGGTCACTGGATACTTTCCTGATGATGTTGTTTAACATTTACAGAGTTACTGTTCCACCCAGTGGAAGACTCTGAGGGAACGCTTTGACTCTGGCTTGTATGCCTCGCACGCAGATCTTCACAGACTGAAGTAAGTCACAAAGGATTATGAAACCGCTTCTAAAGCTCAATGAAAGACGAGATGCCAGTTAGTTAGGACAACAGTGTTTATCAGTGGCTTTATGTTTGTGTTTGCAGGTACCAGTGCTTTAAATCAGCATGGATGTATGAAGTATTGCACTCAGGCTTCTCTTTCCCAGCCAATTATAAGAACCTAAAGACTGCCCTATTGGTCTATGATAAGGAGGTCCAATGGACACTTGGAGCTATTCTTTACAGAACCCGATTTCTGCCTCTGAGGTAAGATTGTGAAAATGACAGCCTTTAATCCTATCTAGTTAAATCTGTTCTTAAGTGTGAGTTGAGGGAGTGATTGGTTTAAGGCTTGCGGAGACTACAGCTTTTCACTGTAATTAGCAGTAGAAGGTAAATCAAAGCTGAGGAATGTCACTTCTCTCAAATATATCCTGACTGTAAAACAAAGGTCTTTCAAAGCCTCTAATAAATGGCAAATTATTGACTCTAACACAAGAAATGAAACTGAATGACAAAAACAGATAGTGATCATTCAACAAAACCGATATCTTTCAATGTCATGATCTTGTTGATTTATTAATGGACTACTCCTAATAAATACATTCACATCTGTAAATACACACATGTGGTGTTAACCTTCAAAAAAAAAAGTTGGTCCTAATTCAACTTACTTTGTATAAGAGCAAACAGGTTTGCTCAAACAAGACATAATTTCCACTCTTACCAAAGAACTGAGAAATCTGGATTCTATTCAGGTCACCTATCAGGTCAAAATAGCTTAGGTCTTAACATATAATGAACAGGTCCAATTACTCAAAGCCGGTCTAATGTGTGTTTTTATTTATTTATTTATTTATTTATTTTGCCTCTTCCAGGGACATCCAGCAGGAAAGTCTGAAAGGAGTACACTCCCACTGGCGGCACAGCTTCTCTTTTGTCAACAACCACTACTTATTCCTGGCTTGTTTCTTCATTGTGCTGTTGTCTATTATACTGTACTTACTGCGACTCCGCCGCATCCATCGGCGCACGGCGCAGCTCTGCACCCCTTCCTCTGTACCTTGGTTGGAAGATGGCCTCGGCTCACCCACACTCCCCATCACTCTCTAAACTTTGTAGGGCATAACATTGCAGCAGCATGTCTTACTTTCCAATGCCAATCTTCACTCCTTTTCTCTCTGAGGCCATCTGCTTGTTCAATGAGCATTTGCAGGCTTCCACCCTGACAACAGGGCTGCTCCCTACTACGAGTTGAAACAAAAATGAAAGTGAGAATTGGACAAATAAGGAAGATCTTATGTGTGTCTTTCATACCTGAGCCATGAAAATATGTGTTGAAGTTATTTTGCTTAATATTGAAATGATATTTTTTTTCTTGCCTGCCACATTAAGTCAAAATCAAATGGCAACTGCCTCCATCAATTTTATTTCTAAAAAACAAACGGTACATTGCTGGCTAGCTAATTTCCAAAACTTAAGTAAATATGTGCTCACACTTTTGAAAGTTAGACAGGTCCTTGGCAGCAAGTTACTGGGCATTTGCCTTTCTTTATGCCTTTTATATGTGTATGATCATGTCTTTTCTTTTTTTTTTAAATAGTACAAGCACTCACCATTTCTATAGAAATGCAATACGATTTATAATTAGTGGAAGGAGCACTTTGTAACGCAGTTGACATGCACTTTTCAGCTGGAATGGTCTCTCTTTTTTTGTGTTTGTTTCCCAAATTGTTCTGCCTCAACCAGACACGTAGCCTTTAATAGCTATACTAGTGCAATACATGTCTTATCACTGTTAGGAGAAACTCTCCAAAACACATCTGCTCTTTTGTTGTTCTCTCTTAAACCTCAGCTGAAATTCTTCGTGTTGGGTTATCTGCCCCTTTTGAGTTGGATACTGTTTCATATATTTACGTTGGGCTTCATTTTCAGAAGCTGTCATATCACTGTTGTGAGGGGAATGTAAATGAGAGCACCCATTATTTATATGAAAATGGTCTAGTGAAACGTTTGCACAGATGAATGCGAAATAAATGTCACATTGCAATTCAGTAATAAAGGTTTATGGTATATCTGCCTGGCTGTTTATTTCATGAGGAGGAGAATCTGCCTGGCTGTTTATTTCATGAGGAGGAGATCAGACTAAATAAATGGTGTCTGGCCCTAGGCAAAGGCTGCTGGTAAAGGAAATTGCAGATCATCCAGCACTTGATGTTCTAATGTACTAATACTTGGTGCACTACATGTGGGACACAATAGACTATCCTGTTCTGTCCCCATAAAGCAATATGATTAGCCTTTATTTGTTGCAACTTCAGCAGTAAAATAAATAAGTCACTGCACTTGGATGGGAAGATATTTTATTGTAAACATGTTTCAATTCTTACAATGCAAAGTGTTTGGTTAACAACCTGCTTGTTCTGCCGTACATTTAAATCAGAATTTAGACTGAAAACATGGTCATATTGCAGAGATTGACTCTTGTAGTCAACAGCAAAGAACATCTAAGATTTAACATTTATCTCTTAAGTGTGTGAAATAGTGTATGATAAAGTGGTGGGCACTATTATATAGTACTTCTTCTCCACCATTAAAAGGTGGAGGTAGTTACAGCTCTGACTATAGTTTCCCTACCGAGCTTTTGAATAGCAGCTGCAAAAACAAGGCTTGAACAAGTGGCTCTTGTAGATGTCTGGCTCCTATAACGCTGAGTCACTCATATGTCACGCTGCTTTGCCAACACACCCACAGTGCGCTTTGTGTGTAGAGCTTGTGTTTCAGCGAGTGGTGAGCGTCACAATACAGTTAATGGATCAGGTCCAACTCATTCAGTGAAGATTTTTTAACTCTCCGTTTCTTTCTCTAGTAGAATAACATAAATTTTGAGTGGAAAGCTGCTGAATCTTTAGTAACATCAGTCAAATCAGATAATATCCTCAACACAAACTGTCAGTTGGATATCAAGGTGAAATTCAAACTTCAAGCCTGCAACTACAGACAGGAAGACAAAGAGATGTAACAAGAAAACTGTAGTGAATAATTTAGCCTCATTAAGATGATCGGTCTGTAACAGACTCATTGGGCAAATTTAATGTAAAAAGTAATTCAGGTAGTATCATCTAATGTAAAAGTGTGATAACAATGTCATGCTTGTTATTCAGGTGCTGAAACTAAAGCATGGATGCGGTGCACCCCATTTCTAAGATGCTTCTGTATTTAACGATATAGAGTAACTGTTCATGTGACGTGACGTAGGGATAATGTGTGCAGAGCGTGTTAAAATTTAAGAAGGTGGCATGAGGTTGTTGTGTAAGCTGCTCCCTTTATTTGAACTTATTATTATTATTTTGCACTTTTCTACATTTAAATGGTAAGATCTTTCATTGTAGCACCAAGTGGTTGCTTTGGTCTGTGGTACCCCAGTGCAGTTATTTTCTTCTACAAATTATTTGATAATTCTTCACTCCAAAAGACCAAAATAAGTGCGACCAAATTCTTGTCCATGGGGTTTTCAAACTTACCTCCCTCACAATAGAACCCCTTTGTTTACTTGCTTAATTATATTATATTATTATATTGTTTCATGATTGTGGGATTTTGCATTTCTTTATACAAATCACACACATGTAGGCTATGTGATCGCCTTTCGATAACTAATAATAGGCTAATTGTCGTGACTCTGAGTTATAGTTTGGATGTGAATATGACGGTGTATTTTCTCTGCTGTTTGTCCTCCATGCCCTTGGGTGGTGCTGTTCTGTGTTTTCCTAGTTTATTGAGTTGCAGGGGAAGGTGAACTGCTGATTGGACTGAAGACTGGCGGCACCTACTTTAAAGTGATACCTGACGACACAGTGAGGTCTCCTCACTGAGGTCTTTTTGCTGCCTCCCAGCCAGCCAGACCGTGCCGTGCTGAGCTATTTAGCGAGCGCTGAGTTGTATGATGTCTGATGAATCCTGCAAGTGTTGAACATTAATTTGCATATGATGTAAGAGAATCTCTAAAGTGCGGTCCTGGAACATCCTCAGGGGAGAGACGCCTTTTGTGTTTGACCTATTTTCTCTTGTTTATGTTTAGGGAGGTAGGTAAGGTAGACAGGCTGTATTTTCTTCTTTTCTTTGCTTGATGTTTACGTGGGTAACGATAAAAGAGGTTTTGTTTGCTGTTTTGGTCATGTTCTTCCACGCATATTCCCCAGATTGATGAATAAATCGTCGATAAATAAATGTATTGCACAAATCTTAAAGATTATAAGCAAAGCCAAAAACTATTATAACAACAAATCCTATACAACCCCCAGTGGTGCTCAGAAGTAACTAATTACATTAACACATTTTTAGCTATTCTACTTAATTACATAATACATTTTTAACTATTCTACTTTACTTGAGTATTTCTGCTTTGCCACTTTATGTTACTGCATTATATTTCCGAGGTCAATATTGTACATTTTACACGTGTATTTCAGAGATGGAGATACTTTGCAATTTTTTTCATTTTTTCGGACAGAGTGTGTGCATGATGCAATGTTTCCATAAAGTAGTTAAATGTACTAACTCGTCCAACTACAACATTAAATAGATGCATACGTGTTAATGCATCGGTAAAAATAACTGAGTGTATTATTAATTGGGCAATTCTGCACTTTTGATACTAAACCTAAAAGTATGTCGGTATTTCTATACCCTTACTCGAGTCAAACTTTGAAGGATTAGTAATAGAGTATTTTTGTACTGTAGTAGGTTATTAGTAGGTATCTGAATATTTTTAAACCATATTCAATACGAGGAAACCACAGAATTGGAGATGTGTCCTTTATATGAAAGGGGAAGTTTTCTGTGCTGTAACCTACTAATGGACATATGTTGCCTGATAAAGACCCCAAATACTTATCTATTTAAGCAGGACTGTGCGATTAGACTTTTGTCAAACCCATTCAAAAACTCAGAGACGAACGCCTCGACAAGCAGGAATGCAAAACAAGGTTGTGATGTGTCAGAGGAATCTATCACGGAAACTTTTCATTGGCCGCCCCTGGACCAATAGCCCGCCCTATTGAGCATCTGAAAAACGATTGGTCCATATTCACCAGAGTCACGCCCCCAGCCGCCAACGTCACACGGGCGCTGGAACTCTACTAAAGTGTTGCGGTTGCCCATGCCGCCGAGACGTCGCTGTGCGGGCTTGTGCGGAAGACCGAGTGGGAGAGCTCGCCACGCATGGAGTTGAGCTCGGACAGTGTGGTGGCAACTCTGGAGATGTCGCAGATCAAACGCACAGACGATGAGCCTTTTGATGGTGACGTTGACTACGAGAGCTTGCCGCCTCACGTCCCAGTGTCGACCCACATGACAGCAGGAGCCGTGGCTGGCATACTCGAGCACACTGTGATGTACCCCGTGGACTCTGTCAAGGTAAGGCGCACAGCCGCAAGGTAGCAGCAGGTTACACTACAGCTCATTCATTAACTGGCTACAAAGCAATGCTAACTGTGCAAACAGCTTGCTATCGCTTGCTAACCAACGTTAGCTGTAAAATGTTCAAACTGCCCATCCTCAGTTAGCCTCAGTTAGCTAATTTATAAACTACATCCTGTTTGGTAACTAGTAGACTGAGTAAACTTGTAAAGCAGGCTAGACTAAATTAAACCGAAATAAAAAATTGCTAACCGAGCATGTAACTTTAGTCAGTTTTACTATTTTCGCATCTTTCTTGACATACCTTTTAAGTTCGCTAACATAGCAAGCTTACTGAACACTCAGTGTAACCTGAATTTACCTATTTGATGAGCAAGTTTAAGGTTTAACAAAGTAACAGTTATTTTAATTATTAACACGTTTTTAAACACGTTTCCCCCCCCCCAGACTCTGTGTTTTGTTTTTTTCCCACCCATACAGTGAAACGAAATTAGTTATCCATACTTGTGTGCCTGTTACTGACGCAGGGTATGTGAAGGTCAAGTACCTGGCTTGACTGTAAAATATGTCAGACTGCCTTGAAATGTAAAACTGGACATATTACAACAGCTTTACTTAGGGCTGGGCAATAAAACAATAATGCTAATTATCGCAATATAAGTTTCCTCAACAACAATACAGTAATTGTTCAATATATCATTAATAAATATTTGATTTAAATTTCTTTGAATCACGAACAAATTAGCACTTAATTTTTCTAATAGGATAATAATTTTATTGAGGAAAGATTTACTAATCATATTTGTTGAAAAAGATTATAATAGTTTTGAATGTTGGATTGTCAGTGATCCACTGTTTGTCCCATTCTGAAGGAAAATTTAACCACATAATTAACCATCTGGTTTCTTCAATTTTCACTCAGGAGCAAAAATCAGCTTTTAAACTTTAAAGAAATAATGTTTTGACATTTATCGTGATAATTATCGAATGAAATGTTTTTACTGTGATAACATTGCAGTACAGAGTAGAGCTGACACATTTAAGCGATTTTAGTTAATCAAAAGAGGATGAACCTGCAACAATTTTGATAATTGATTTTATCAGTCAATCAAAAATTACAAATATGTTCTAGTTGCAGCTTCTGAAATGTGAGGATTTGCTTTATGTCTCTGTTTTTCTTTAAACAACATGAACTGAATATCTTTGCATTTTTGGACTCTTTGTTCAGACAAAACAAGCTCTTGGAAATTGTGATAAGCATTTTTCACCTTCTCATTGACAGAACGATTAATCAAGAAAGTACTCTGCAGGATAATCGATACTGAAAGTAAATATTGGGTTGAAGAGAATTGAGTTACAGCCCTAATGCACAATGGGGGGAAAAAAATAAAATATATATATATATATATATTTTATTGTCACAATATATCAGGTTTGTAATGTTATGTGGATCCTAAATATTTTAGCTTTTGGAAAATAATGAACTTACGACACTATAATCTTCGGTTACACTCACATGAGTCACAGGGAAGTTTGATCGTCCGTCGGTTCTGAGGTGTTAACTAAAACTTTCCACAAAAAGAGTTCACACACATAAATGGTAGCAATGACAACTTACTGCCCAAGTGGATTTTTTTAAATAGATTTTTGCAAAACTGAACAAGTGAAGGTCAAAACTGTAACCGTAATTAGGTTCAAGTTACCAAGGTGATACTCTGGAGTCAAATACAGCGGCTGTCCCAGAGGTAGACTATTGAGGATTGTAAATTTCATATTGTTGAACCAGCCTTGGTAAAAAAAACAAACCAAAAAAAAAAAAACACTTGGCGAAGACACATGAGTTCATAAACAGAGAAACCCCTTGTGACTACGACCCTTTGTACGACTGGTGTTCGGCAAGTCGAAAACAAATTTGCTTATTGTTAAATGCCATCTTGAAATTAAAAAAATTACTAGTTTTAAGCGTGTTAAATGTGGCTTGTGTCTGCAAAGCAAACTACAATCTTTTGGTTTGACTGTGAACTTTGCCCCTGCAATCCTCATGTTCTGCTCTGCTATTGTTTTCTAACAATGTAGTGTTGTTTGTGATAATTTGGCGCGCTGCTCTACGGCAACTATAATCTTGAAGTGGCACAGACAACTTCATTAACATACAAAATGTCATTATATCCTCTTTGTTTCAGTGTAGACAACTTTCCAAAGCCACAGGCCTTTATTACACAAACAACTGTTGCCATTTCCTCTTGAGGTTTTCACAAGCACCTTCCAGCTGTAGATGTGGTGCCCATTCAGTTTGATTTGGAGTTGACAAAGAACCGGTTTAGAAATTTCAGTGGATCTAAACTGATGAAAGAATTAATCATGGTTCCCATTTTTTCCTACTTACTTTGCAGCGTACGGTATGTAAAAACATATCAAGGACAGATGCCAATGCATTTATTTCCATTTAAATATTCTAAACTGTGCTTGATGAAGTAATGAAGTGGTGTCTCACATCTAGGGCTGCAATTAACTATTATTTTCATTATCGATTAATCTGAAGATTATTTTCACGATAAATGCTTTAAGATTTAGTCTATAAAATAAATAAAAAATGTGCAAAATGCTTATCACAATTTCCCAAAGACCAAAGTGACGTCTTCAAATTGCTTCTTTTGTCCAACAAAAAATTACATAAATGACAAAGAAAAGCAACACATTTATACATTTAAGAAGCTGGAACCAGCAAACATTTGACATTTATGCTTGAAAAAATTGATGAATCGATTATCACAATAGGTGCTAATTAATTTTCAAGTGTTGCACCTCCCCTCACAGCAAGCATAGCAGAATATCTGTTTTTTAATATGGTGGTGTTCTTGTTTTAAATTTCAGTAGATGATGATAACAATCGGCTGAACCTGTTAACTTACTGTACGCTTCAACCTCCAAGTAAAGAACAAGACACGGCTAGGACTCGGGGAGTAGCCCGTGCTAACGCTAGGAGGGGGATCTTATCGGTGTTGTGCACACTTGGAATCAGCCTCATGCAGTAAAGGGTGTGTGTGTGCGTTTGTCCTTCTGCAGTGTTGATTAATAAACTGTCACAGAGCCATAACTGCCAAAAGCTGAATTGCTGCGTATAAATTGGAAAGCTGTCACAGTAATGATGTAGTAGACGATGGGAAGGTTTCCTTTTTTATTATGCTTAAATGGTTTTGCTAGCCCAGTCAGACAGTGACGTTAAAAACATCTTTATGCAGATAACGCTCATGTTTAATTTATTTCAATAATTTGCTGTAAAAAAAAAAAAAAGTTTAATGTTTGATTTGCAAATCAGTCATAAACAGATTCTGTTGAGAACCTAATGATGATCTTATTCACTAAAATTCAACCTGAAACTGCTGGACTAATAGTTTCCCCTACGTTTCATCTTCAATCTCCTTTAAAATGTCATTGTTAGATAAGCATTTTGAGTAATCCATCTTTTAAATGCTTTATTGTTGTTTTTTTCATTATGATCATACATTGTATTGTAAAATTATTTTTTTATTTTTTTTATCAGAGACACAGATAACTGCTGCATTTGTTGATGACAGCCCTCTTTGTGGCACTGTTATAGCCCAATTATTAGTATGGCTTTTTAAGGCCAATACAGACATCAGTTTTTTAGAGTATGATAATGATATATGGGCTAGTTGTCATTTTATGGTTGATTTAAAAAAAACAAACAAAAAAACTTATCGTTGTTCTCTGGTATTCAGTGTCAAAGCAAGAAGCGACCTGCCAGTTATGCAGATAGGAGAGGCAAAAAGTCAGTGTGCAAGTAATGTAATATCCAGCTTAGACCAACAAGTTGTGCTGGATTTTTAATACTATAAACACATATGTTTAACCTTTCACTATAACTTTTCTGTTCATGATACATTCATGGCTTTTGGTTACTGAAGGCATTAGACGTCTTTATCATCAAGCATTCAGAAAGTTATCTAAAAAGTCATACGATACAGTTAGAATTGCTTTGTGTCCAGCATAATTTACCCATCAGATTATCTCTAAAGCAAGCTGATGTTGTAAGTAGTTAACATATTTTATCTATCAATTGCCCTGAATATAAGAAAAAGCACACTCTGGCTTCTGTCTTCCATATAACAATGTGATTTGTAGTGCATAAATTCACTCACACAAACTTAAAATGTGCTACCAAGTTCTGTGTGCCCCAAGCTCCCAAATCTGTATCAAACGGAAATGTAATTGATATTTTATTGTTAAGCCAAAGGAAGGAAAGGCATGGGACCATGCTGAGGAAGATAGACTTGGCCTATCTCCCGAAACAGCCCCAGATCTCCCCCGCAAATAAAAACATGCTTTGTGGTGTCCAGATAACTCTGCATGGTGGAGTAAAACAAAGAGCTGCCACAGCCTCCCACACCAGCCTTGGGGGAGACACACATCTCTCAGTCGTCTCACTGCTGCAAAGCACACTCACTGTCGGAACAATGTGACAGCGTTGCAGAGAACAGCACATCAAGAAATCCTGATTTGGCCTACACCAGGTGTCCACTTAACAGTCAAGTGGTCACACCCAAGATTTAGTGATTTACTGCCGTTGTTAAATCTAACCAAACTGGAGCAAATGACGACCATAAATATTGTTTATTTTTTCAGACAAGGATGCAGAGCCTGCAGCCGGACCCAAATGCACAGTACAGGAGTGTGTATCAGGCTCTGAGAAAGATCATCCGGACAGAAGGGATCTTCAGACCGCTTAGGGGCCTCAACATCACCATGATGGGAGCGGGACCCGCGCATGCGCTCTACTTTGCCTGCTATGAACGTGTGAAACGCTCATTAAGTGACGTCATTCAGAATGGAGGCAACAGCCATTTAGCCAATGGTACAAGTTCCCATGTCTCAACACAAATCACTTGATTGTGATACTAGCTGCGTTCACCCTGGGCTAAGCAACACAGCCTGCAGGGGTGTAGTTAAGTCATTTTAATGCCATATCCTGTTTACAGTTGCATGGATAAAGCCATATTCCAAACATGACAAATCCAAACATGCTATTTTTGGGATATGTCGTACAAAATACTTGTTTTTGACCTCAGCTAAAATAAGGCTCATATCTGTAACGAATTAATTTGAAGATCTGTTTGTCTTAACAGGTTTGGCAGGTAGTGTGGCGACTGTTCTTCATGATGCAGTCATGAACCCAGCTGAAGGTAAGAAGGGGGGGGGGACAATTCCAATAAGGTTACTCCATCTTCTTCCTTTTTTTTTTTTTTTTTTGATTTTCTTATCGTCAAAAAATCAAGAATGATTGCTAATGAGCCATATTGTCGCATTGTGACATTTGCCTTCTTTACAATGTACATGGGCACTGTAGTTTATTCCGACTCAATCGTTCATACACTGTGCTTAAAGACTCACTAGAACATCAATGTGGATTAATCCGCAGCTGGAAATGGTCCACAGCAAATGCACTTACTCCTGTTTGAGTTTTCTAAAAACTACGGTGCCCATCTGTTTCAGAAAAGGATCTAACTTGATATTATTTATAAAAATTGTACTGTATATTTGTGACCTTTAGCTCCCTCAAGAACAAATGGGCTGGTTGCCACAAACAGTGCAGGTTGGTCACACAGACCAACTAATGCATTGTTGGCTTTTGTCTTTTCATGGGGCTTATTGACAATAACAAATATAGAATAATCCCAGTCTTTAAAACCGCAGATAATGGTCTGAACTGGTCAGCACAATATAGTTAATGATTGATTTGGTTTTACCTTAACCATGGTATCATTCAAAAATGGTCATGTACAATGATAATTAATAACAGTCTGGCTTGCCTGTTAACACTTTTGAAACATATTTAACACATAAACATGCATGTGATTTTGACATGCAACAATATTTTTGTGGGGCGAACAAATCATTTCTTTTTAAAACCATGTTATTTGACATATTTTTGTCTTAAGTATAAAATGTATGTGCTAAAAGATGCTAACATAGTGTCTTGTTTTCTTCCGTGGCTCAGTGATAAAGCAGAGGATGCAGATGTACAACTCCCCATATCGAGGACTTTGGCACTGTGTTCAAACAGTAACGCGTACTGAGGGCGTGGGAGCCTTCTACCGCAGCTACAGCACACAGCTGACCATGAACATCCCTTTCCAGGCCGTTCACTTCATCACCTATGAGTTGATGCAGGAACAGTTCAACCCCCACAGACACTACCACCCTGGCAGCCACATATTGTCGGGAGCGGCGGCGGGAGCCGTTTCCGCAGCAATAACCACTCCACTTGACGTTTGTAAAACTCTGCTCAACACACAAGAGAATGTAGCACTCAACTCCATGAAAATCAGCGGTCACCTAACAGGAATGGCTAATGCCTTCAGGACAGTGTACCGGCTTGGTGGTCTGGCGGCCTTCTTCAAAGGGGTCCAAGCTCGGATTATATACCAGATGCCCTCCACTGCCATTGCCTGGTCAGTGTACGAATTCTTCAAGTACTTTATGACAAAGCAGCAGCTGGAATCTGAGGCAGGACCTCGGCCAATGTAATGGAAAGTGTGTCGGCGCAAAACAAACCTAGACTGGAACTGAGAAGACGCCAGCTTGAAGCGGTGTGAGCTCACTTTGTACTTTTTGAGGACATCAGTTATTTTCTCACGGGGAAATCCCGGGAGGTGGAGGAGTGGCAGCGAATAGCACTCCCTATTGTTCACTTACCTGTGTGTGCGTGTTAAAGTTAAGATGTTACACAACCACTATATGCAACAGAGATGACCATTCTTAGAAATCTTCTTCCTCCTCTGCTCCACAAACACATTAACCGCAACTTTCCAAACTCTTTTCCACATGTGGTGGGCGTAAAATGAATTTGTCTTGAATGATGTTTATAGCTATTAATATTGGAACTTTTTATTTATTTGGTTAGCTTCCCGAAGCTTGGATTTTATGGAGGCGGAAGAAACACAGTGCTGTTTGTTTTATTATTATTATTATTGTGTATTTATAAAGTACAAAAAAAGCCCATTACAATACATTCCTTAGTGTCGCTCCAAGGCGAACGGAGGAGTTGCTCTGTCTAAGTGCCTCAAATATTAAAAACTACTCTTTTGCCCTCTTGACAGATTCTTATTTCCGTGTTTCATTTTTGTTTGGTCCATGTTCATGCAAAGAAGCACATTGTTAGAAGAGTAAATCTTAAGTGGCTCTTTATGTCATAACTGACCACATTTGTTTAATCTGAATTTACTAAACTGAATCCTTTAATTATTTTTGGATTATCTCTGCACCAAATGTTCAAATGCAGGTCTGCAGCTTATTATTATTATTATTATTATTTGCTTTAAGTAAATACCATGTGTTTACCATGCCCTCTTTATCCTTCAGTATCAAGGTGTGTAGGCTGAAACGGTCCAGTTATTTGCCTTGTTAAAGCGCAGCACTACTATGCTCCTAAGTAACGCACAATAATAGTTTTTAATGTAAAGAATCAAACCTGTTACAGAAAGAAGGCAGCTTGTTTACATGTATTCAAAAACACGAATATAGATTTTGAGGGCGACTATTTCTGAGAAACTTTACTATCCGATACGGCTGATGAGGCCATATCTCAACCATCATGTACATTTGTACTGGTGTGATGCTTAGCTTCTAAGTGGCCTGTTTTGTTTACTTGTGTCATATTGACCTTGAACCTAAAGGTTGTAGATTGTATATAAAATATTTTCAGAGTATATGTTTTGCTGAAACTTCAAGTGTAGACTTCATGTGATACAAAATGTATAGTTGTAGCCTTTGTTTTATTTTGAAGCTGACCATTGTTACCACAAGATCAGTAATACCCTGATCAAATCAGCTGGTATTTATTTTATTGTCAGTCGTCCTGTTGTAGTTGCACGTTTCCTGTGTGCTTACTGCTCTCTGCAGTCTCTTGACTATTTTCCATTCAGTTGGTCAAGACATTCCTCCAGACACTGATGTAATCCAGCAAGCAGCCTGATTTATTTGTTTTTAATTATCAAGTTTTCTTTGTTCCTTTTTGGTAAAGTTCAGAGAGTTCATCAGATTCCATTGGTCTCAAAAACCCTTTTAGAATCATAGTGCTTGTACAGTAGAGTAATTATTAATATACCAAAGACATGGATTATATTCTATGCATATTCCTTTTAACCTACAATTATGACTCTGTTTTCCTGCATCCTGTGATTTGTCATTCCACCTTCTTTGCCCCACAGTTTCCACTCATAAGTGTTAAATTGCCTCATCTCTTGAATTCTTCTGTATATTTAGCTCTAGAGGTTTATTTTCTGTATTTTGGATCTTGATGTGTCAATGCTGCCTCAGCATTTTAATCTGATCCTCCGAAAGGTTCCATTGCCTACTGAAGTACTTGAGCAAAAGCAGTTAACAGTAAAAAATTGTATGTATGGTTTTCTGGAAAATTACATTGTAACCTAATTTTTATTTACTGATAAGCCACTTTAGACTATATAAACTGCTTGTATTGAATGCAATATGGATTTCACATCAATGGATAAGCTGTTTTGTCCGCTTGAATATTAAGATTAGATTAATACAGCTGTTTTATTCTAATCACAGTTGGGTCAGTCTATTGCCACATTGTGTTTGTTTTATTTTTCAGTTGGATCTACTGACAAAACTTTACTCCTTTTTGATTTGAACTTAATCATATGATAAACAAAAGTGAAAGACTACGTTTTTATTAATCACATTAATATATATTTCCCAAACGCCTGTGTCAAAGTACATGTCAAAGCAGTGTTTCTAATAGATGCTTAGTTTTTAAAGGAAGCAGCAGAACTGATATTCTATGTGGGTATTTCCATGATGTAAATATCTTGTATGCTATTTACGCACAGATGATTGAAATGGGAGTTGGGATGATTTTTTTTGCTGTGGGCCACCTCCAGAACAGGAATTGTTGGATGTTTTGACCAAGCAAATATGAAATGATTGTGATAATGCTGCTACAGTATGTAACACTGGAGCTGAAATAAAACATGCAAGTGAGGAATGCTGTGTTTTTGTTTTGCTTCTGAACTGAATCAATATTTGCTTTCATACTGTCTTGTCTCACTCAGTCTTTTAGATGTTGGGGAAAATGTTGGGTTGTTTTTATTCTGTATTCTACAGCCCCGAAGGGTTTTACAAGTTAATGGGGCTTTAATTTAAATTACAAAGAAAGTTGGGACCAGTGATGGACTGAAAGCCTTAAGGGAAAGTTAACATGAATAAGATATGGTTAATGTTGACCACACCATTCAAGGTAAAATAATCAGGAATATTTGACTCGTTTACTTTCTGCGTTAATAGTTTTCTTTAGAGATTTTTCTTTGGTAGAAAGTCGTTCAGCTAGAAACTAATGTTGATTATCAAGAGTTAGAGAAGTTTTAGCTGAATTTTTAAAATGTCAAAACCAAAACGAGCTGCATAGATAAATAGCACTGGTAGTAAGTGAGAAAATATGTTTATTTGAAATGCGTATGAAAACAACAACGCTTCTAAGTATCCTGTGTAACATGCAGGAATTACACGTCCAGTAGAGGGCAGTAACATTTCATTTAAATGTCGTCCTCACAGACACATAGCTGACATTCCTCATAGGAAGACATGACGTTGACATGTGCCTACTCTGAGTTTGGATCCACCACCAAATACCCAGACACATGATGATGATGTCATAATCAGCGCAGTACTGCTCTGAGTTTTGCAAACTGTGCGCAGTGTTTGAAGAACTGCCTGCAAGTCTTAAACTTGCATTTAAGATGATTTGGGAGGTAATTACTTTGCCAATACTGAGTGAAAAAAAGACAGCTTTCAAGTTAGTATGTTGAGTTCAGCTGCAGTGTTCTCTCCTCTGGTTCTTCATCTACGTCTCATTATTTTTGATCTCTTTTATCTGGATTCACCTTAGGTTTCCCTCACGTTCTGTTTACATTATAATGACTGCATAACCTGCAGCTTTCAAAAAAGTCACAGTTTTTCTTTTATTCTACATGGACATGACAACATTTTGACAGCAAATGCCCTTCCTCAGGTAAAGGTGAGGGTGGGAATGCACAGGTATATATAGATGTAGACATAATCGTTGCATTACTGGAAGTGGTCATCAAACACAAATGTAAGTATCAACATTGCAATAAATGTACAGGAGTAAATGCACGCATACTTTCATTTTTGCATTGCCCTCATGTTGTTCACAGTTATTGAAGTAGTAAATATAACATTTTGTTTCTCAGTTTTATTTATTTTGCTGTTTATGTGAAGGTAAATACTGCATTTCAACAGTGTGTCCTGCACCATAAAGTATGTTATGGTGGAAAAAACAGGCTGATCAGATTTTGTATTGAGATGCAGACAGTGCAGAGCTTTTATTCCAAACCAACATGCCTCAGGACACGTACACTTGTGCCGTAACGTTGTTGTCCCTGATATGTTTAGCTTTCGCCCTTGTCCATGAGCAAGTTGTTTATCTGAAGCGCACAATGAAAGCCCCCCTCAGCCCATGTCCTCTGTCCTTGTCATACTGTTCTCCAATTGCTTTAATCTGCAGTAAACTGCCCCACTACTTTATGTCTTTATCCCACAGATAAGAACACTGGAAAATTACTCTTCTCTCTCTGTTTCTGCCTGTCTTCCCCCTGTTTCTTTTTTCTTTCTGTCTTTTTTTACACACACACACCCATCCACCCACCCACACACACTAGCACACAGTTCGCAGCCATACAATCAATGTCAACCATCAGATAAGTTGGATGCATCAGTGTATCTGCTGATGGGACAAGAAATGCAGCTGCTCTACTGGTACCGTAACATAAGGGATCCAGTTACACTACCCAAGGAAGTTTATGAGCATTCCCATGTGAAAAGATCAGGGTCATTTTAAACCTCCTTATCAACTCCCACAAGTTTGTCAGACAGTCACGGCATATTGGAGCACTGACAAAGGCTGTCTTTATGGTTGGGGTATGGTTTTCTCCTCATCTGTTATGAAGATCTGCTTGTTTTTCAAAGCATCACTGGCCACCTTGAAGCAACGGCTCTAAGACCACGCTTTTCACTGCATCTCACAATCAGATCCCTAAATGTATAGGCAAAGAAGATAAACTCATGGGACTTAACGTTGTATTTCTTGGCACATATACCTGCTTTATTTCCGTATCCCAGAAAATCTTCAAGTAAAATCTATGATCCAAGCATAGAGGAGGAGATAAGACCGTGATGTTATAAACTTCTCCTTGCAGCTTTTCATCATTTACTTGCCAAATCCAGTTAATCCATGTGGTGTAGAGACAGATCTAGAAAGAGAAGGAAACAGACGAGGATGTTGTTCATGCGTCTTCTGTTTTTGTGAATCAATGTACCGTGTCTCTTTGAGCCTGCGAAAGTGCAGGTATTAACATAATAACCATAACAAAAATAATAGCTATTCTAACCTTCAGCTTCACCCTTCAACAAGCTCCTCTGTCTGATGAGTGTGTTCGTATACAGCCTGAAACTCTGAGAGACGCTGAGAGATACTGTCAGATTTTCAGTGCCGTCAAAACAGATGCTATCTGCCCTCTTCATGTCTAATTACCTGTTTACTCCAAGGACCTAGAATGAATGGTGCTGTTGATAAGGACTCACTTTAGTTTAAGGAAATCATTAAGATGCCTTTTTTCACCTGAACTTTTACATTCCAAGATGTGCCACAGTATGTTAAACTTTCTCTGTGCTTTGTAAGTTGATACATTCCATATGTATATATATATAAATAAACTGATGCCCATTTTAACAGGACTGAACGATTTAGGCTCATATCTATTTTAAAAGTTTAAGGAATGACCACCACTTGATCCACACAGGAATGTGGAGACAAACAATGTTTTTCTCAGTAAGGGGGAAGGAAATCCAAAGATTATGATGATCTTTTGACACTTGTTGCCTAAGCACAAGTCAGACATGTTCCTGGCGTGAGAGCTCTCAAGTCTCCCTTTATCAGTTCCATCAGTCCTCTGCTCACACTTTGGTTATGTTACTACAAACGTACCCTGTTTAAATATGTAAAGCACTAAATCCTGCATACCATCTTATCAGCACTGTACTGACTCAGCCCGGTATGCCAACCTGTATGAAGCTATGCTCACTTCTTAGGACGCATTGTTGGAATTCAGCTTTTATATAAATAGGTGAATTTGTAAATTATTTTTTCTAAACAGCTCATGAATGTCAGTAGAGGAGAGTTATACTTTTTTTCATTTGAGGCAATGATAGAAATCTCTTAAGGGAATATTTCACACCCTTATGTTTGTTCAAAGAGGCACTTCACTGTATGCCTACAATCCAACATTGTGGTGAAATGACTAACATGCGTACTTTAATTTGAATCATGCACATCCTTGGCCTTTCTCCTCGCTCAAAAAGATGAAGCTCAACAATGTTTGCCTGTGTGTGTGTGTGTTTTATTCATTCTAGTTTTATTCATATTTGGATCTGAAAATGGTCATATTTTGACTTTGCAGAATGATTTTACAGACGCCGATGCTGGTGAAAATACAGAAGATCAATGTTACTTAATTCGATTGCAAACACATCACATTTGAAGCAGATGCACTGACTAGCAGCAGCATACACATGAATGTGAAGGCCTTTTCATAGAGATATTAAGGTGTGGATGGGTTAGCTGTTAGCTGAGACAGACTATCCTGCCATCCAAAACATAATGCTGTTATTATTTTCTATTTTCATTCAGAAAAAATGTGTTTATATGTTACTCATATTACTCACATCAGCAGATACGAAGAATAACTGATAGACACAATCAAACTTCATCAAACCTTGAAGGTTCAGCCTCCTGGTTCAGCCTCCTGGTCTCACCTGTGGAGGGCCCCATACTTATTGTACCGGACGCGTGTGATAACAAAAGGAGGCGACATTCTTTATTCAAGTCATGGATAATATCAGTACACACAAAGATAACAAAGAGCCCTGCATATCTACCTGTCATATCTGTGGCAGGGCAGCTCAAGGACATAGCCTTTCTCATACTGTCACACACCTGCAGGTGGTTGATAGACGCCCTATAAGCTAAAGGTTAAATGCAACTGCCATGGGACGAGAGAAGAGTGCGCATGTGTGCAGTAAACCCCGTGATACCTGTAAATGTTGTAGTATAAGAAGTATAAGGCCTGTAGGAATATCCTCACAACTGGAGTGCGTACATGGTTGTTGTGGGGTATTTAGCTCAGACCCTCTGGATCCGGTCACTCTAATATCTAAAAACTATATTTTACATCTTATAGTCAAAATTGTATGTGAAACAACTGTAAATTATGTGCATGCGAATCTGGTTTAGTCATCTCTGCATAGTGTCTGTAATTTGATTAGCTCTTATTGTTGGAGTCGTTTTAACAGATATCTGGCAGAACATTTTATGGCAGACACTAGAGTGAACAACCATTTAATTAAAATGATACAAAATCAACAAAATGTGTCTCTGTAGGTTTGACAATGGAATTATTTGAACTGGTTGTCTGAAGGTCTATAGAAAATTCTGTATTAACATGTTCAAAGTATTTTTTTACTCATAAAGGTTGTGTTATTTTCCTGAATAACCAACAATGGCCACAGAGCTTTTTACTGCAATGTCTTATTCCCATCCCCGTCTCTTACCCTCTGTATATCACACAGTGATGATCATGTTAACAAACAGGTTTTGTTACTATACTAATGAAATTTACATGATCACTTCACTACTTCACGCAGTGGCACATACAAAACTGTCAACCTCTGATTGATGTATGAGATGGCGCAGTCCGTCTAAGATAAAAAAAATGTCTGACTAAAATACCATTATCTAACTGAACTACTCTGTTCATATTTTTGAAAGAAATTTTAAACTAATTTCCCCAAAATTTCTCAGATTAGAAATTGCAGTTTCTTAGTTTCACGCAGCTTTCCTTATGATATCACCTCAAGAAAACTTGAAGAGCAGTTTATCTCCATGTAATCAGGTCAGGGGCTCTTTAAAGGAATCACATCTCATTCTTTAGCCCTCATTTACAAGATCACCCTCATCTCTGTCTAGTCTTATCTTCTTATGTAGTTTTACTGTATTATCAGAGTTACTCCAAACTGAAAGTTTAAATGTCTTCAGTGTAAAACACCTATATTATTGTGTTACTCTTACCATGTAGTTTACTGTTGCTTCACAGTCAACTAAAACTAACTGTTATATACATTGGTTGTTTTCTGTATATATAAAAATTTACTGGTATAAACAATTTCAGTATTTTCCCACTGTCCCACTTTATGTTTTGCTGTAATATAATTTCACAACAAACTGGGCTACATCTCAAACTGTATTCCCCAAAACTTGACTTAATGTATTTTCCATATTTTTTCAACAGAGAGCTTTAAAAACAAAGTATAGTGTATCAACATTAATTTAATAATGAACTGCTAAAATTGACTTCAGTGATCAAATGTTTCATTGCGCAACAATCATTTTTTTCTTTAAAGCATGAAAAATGACAAGATGTGTTTGTGAACAAAATAATTTTAGATGGTACACTGGTAAAGGTAAAACATGGCCACACACTGGATTTAAAATCAGTGTCAAATAACAGAGAATCTACTTTGATAGTAAACATGAAGCCTAAACATAAGGGATACTAAACACAGGCTTATCAGTATACATCATCATATGCATTATTTCTGTTTCACCATATCGTTGGCCCCCAGGGGCCACCGTAGTCCCACAGGTAGGGTCTGTATTGGTAAGCTTTGCAGAAGGAGGTGATTAGTGATGATCGGACCAAATCGTCTCTCAGGCCCAGTCCCTCTGCTTTGTACAAGTCCTTACAGAACTCTGATGTTTGCTGCTTTCGTTTCGTCTTGTACCTTCGGTTCTGAAACCAGATTTTCACTTGGGTCTCAGTGAGTCTTAAGGTGCTGGCCAGGTGAGCCCTCTCTGGAGCGGACAGGTATTTCTGATGGTTAAACTTCTTTTCCAATTCAAGCACTTGGAGGTGTGTAAAAGCAGCTCTGGAGCGCTTCTGTTTCCCTGTGGAGGAAAAAGTGCTGGACTCCGAGGTACTGGGAAAGGAAGTGTCCAGAGACTCTGTGAAGGAGAGATGTGATCGGGTCATTAAAGAGGGAAACTACTCAGTAACAGTCAGTATGGTCTAATCTGCATATCAGGCTGTGAAGCACTGGCTAAAAAAGAAATTCCTGATCATCATAAGGTATTTTTAGCTATTAATAAAAAACACTGCAACAACTTCCCACCTATAACTAATCTCACATGGATTTATTGCATCTTCTCAAACATTATTCTGCAAAATAAAATCAAAAACACGTATCTATCTATCACATTCATGTAACTGACAGCCTGCAGGAGCCCACCTGTCTGCACTCCAAACGCTGTCTCCTGAGGGCAGAGTGGCTCTGACAACATTTCAGATTCTTCTTTCCATTGTGAACATCTGTCAATCTTCTGTGAACAGCGTTTGCCATTAAATCTTGTGCTGTCCTTAATGGAGAGGATGTCCTCGATGAGGAAGGAGGTCACAGGTTTGACTGTGTCTGACATTTCCATCCAGTAATCCACAAATCAGAGGCCTCTCAGTCCCAGAGGTCTACAGCGGGAGTTGAAGCAGTGTGTCTCCTCACACAGTCACACCGTCTGAATTTATACACGAGCAGGGGCGGGTTTACTCCGACTGCACTGACAAGGGAGGGAGGCGGGCCAACTATTACTCTACTTCCACTTTCAGTAACTTTCTTTTGTTTTCCCCTTCATATCAACTTTTTTTTTCTGATATCAAACACTGATAATGTCTTATCAAAAAGAAGGATTAATCATTACTGAATTCATTGATTTAAAATGGGCAACTTACATACTTATACAACTGTATATGGCTATGTATACATTTTATCATACATGATTATAGTTCCCTTTTTACGCAGATTTTGCACAATACTATACGCTCATATACTGGTTCATAAAGTACACATACCTAAATCTGTCCAACAGCTCTGCGATGAATACTACCTTCATGAAGGTATAATGAAAGATGATCTGTGTATTTATACTATATGTTTTGAATATTGTAGTTTAATGTTGTGTTTGTTGTGCACAAACTACTCATATCTATGAATGAACTTTATGGCCTACAAAATTAGACAATGTACTAGTATCAGATCAATCAATGTATGTTCATACAGAATGTCATTTTCCTTTTCAGAGGTGGACAAAACTTCTAAAATCCTGCGCAAGACACACCAGAAGTCCAGACAGAAATATTATTCAAGAGTAAGGTGGGTAATTTCTTTCAAGTTGTATGTCATATTAGCCCAGTGTAGTAGTGTCCCAGTGGGGGTGGGGGTGTCAGAGTGTGTGGTCATGCACTAATGAGTTTGACACATTTAGGCCGGCTCCTCAACGGACACAGTAATTTCTCGATGGCTGTTTGTTTGTTGTTCTCTGTGGTTCAGCCAGACTTTCTCCAGAGAATGAGACGTCTACTAGCAGTGTTTGTGTTCCTCGGGGAGTTCATGCTTTGTTTGGAAATGTGTGAATGTAGGTATGATAAACATGATCCTCTCTGTGCCCCCTGGCCTCCCCGCTGACTCCTCCACCTTTCTTGGCACCAAACCACACAGCGAGCAGTCACTAAAACCACTATGTCACATTGACGAGTGCTTGCATTATCACTGCTTTAATGTAATGAAAGTGCAACATTTAAACTTTCTGTCATCGTATTGTCACTTGTGTTAAGTGCTGTGTGCTTTATGTGCAGTATGAACATAAATGTAAGGCCACACTGACTGATGTAAACTTTAGCATGTTCTGTTGTGCGTTGTGAATCATCATTTATAAACGCCATCTGTTTTAAATCTACTGGGGTTCCTCTTAAGCATTAGCTGCTGTCTTGTCAACACAGTATTAAGATCATCAGTATGATATGTTTCACCCTGAGTTCTTTGTCTACGACCGTCTGTCTGCACAAGTATGTTGAACTGTAAGCACAAATAACTTTTATCGCTCTGTCTAGACACAGTTTTTCTTTCTGTTTTTAGAGTCCTTACGTGCCTTTTTGGGTCCAAACATTCTGAATATGGAAACAAGTGTAAAAAGAGGGTCATCTAGTAGGTCGGGAAAAAATTAAATTTTAGCAACTATCTGATTCCACTGAAAATTCAGATGTTTATTTCTAGCCCTGATCACTACATTATCATATTAAAAAAACACATCAAACACATGTCTGGTTGTCATCAAAAGCATATTCACTTGGCCAAATAAGAAAAAACATGCGCTCACTTCAATGACGAGGCTCTACCAACTATGCTGTCATGCTCTGCTGTCATTCTGAGACAATCTGCATGATTGCCCTAAGTTGAGAACAATGACATTTCATTTCTATCTATTGTGTCCTAAGCATTCATTGCACAGATATTTAGCTGCTCTGCATCACATGTGACAAAGTGGAACCTCTGACCTTTTAGCCTGGGGAATCATTTGTCTTCCACAGTACATGCTATGTGGTTACGATGTTTTTCTTTGAGCCACCGAAAGTTGTTGTGCAATCAATCTTCTGTTTTCCTGCTATTTCTTTGTCTGAGATGACAAGTAGTCAGTAATAACTGTGGATTCATCAGTTTTATCTGCTCAGCATCAGTGTTGTATAACTGCTGCCTACAACTGTGCTATAGCACAAGTTCTTCACTCTATGTATTGCCAGACATAACAAATATGTCATCGAATTGAACAGGTGAATGTGAGGTTTACGGACAAATCTGTTTTAAGTTTGCCATGTGAAAGTAATGTGGGGGTCTTCCACTAGAGGGAGCTTTAAAGCCACACATCCTCACAGAGCAGCAAAGCCAGTAACCACTTCAAACTGCAGGAACAACAACCATACATTGAGCTGTTTTATCAGAGTATAGTTTGAAGTAAGTCTGATTATGCATGGTCAATAGTTATCTGTCATGGATTGTTTCATCTTCATGTACCTCATAACTGCATGATTTAGTTGATACAGAGAGGATTGTTGGACACAGGAACTCTGCTCTTGGGTTTGTGAATCATCTCAGCACCAATCATAAACAGTAGATAATCAGACTGACATTTGAAGGCTATTACATAGTCAGAGATTGTCTTCTTTTCTAAAGCTGACGTAACTACAGCATGTAGTAGTTGAGTAAACCATAATGGGTCTTTCACTGATGGCCAGACACGTCATCCTCTATTTAAACTGACCCTCATCCCAACAGTGTAATCAAGCATCTTTATTTTGGGATTCTACCTTCATTCATACATATCTCTATCACATCATCTCTCTCTCTCTCTCTCTCTCTCTCACACACACACACACACACACACACACACACACACACACGCACGCACGCTGTTATCTCTTTTTCTATTCCTTTCTGCCCCTTTTGCACCTCAATTTCCCACTCTGTTTGTAATTATCATATGTGCATATTTGTGCACGACAATGTTTCACCAAATCCTGAAATGTGATCAGATCACAATAAAAAAATACTGCACATAAACTAAAAATGTATAACTTTGGCAAGTCTTTGGTGAAAGTGAAATAGAACCTTTTTTCTTCTTTTTTTTTTTTTTACTATGTTGCCTATTTTACATATAATTATTAAATTAATCATTTTAATCTTCATTAAAAAATCTTTTGCAAAGGTTAGCACATTTGTGTCAGAAAATGTAATTTATTTGTATTTAATATTTTTATTTTAATTTTTTAGTTTTTAACACACACACAAACACACACTTTTACTGTTTATTTTATTTTATTTATTTGATGAACCATAGGAATTTAATTTACAGTACAGGCACATGATTACTTTTTCTATTTTAATTTTTTAAATATATATTTTTTATTTTAACACACACAAACACACACTTTTACTGTTTATTTATTTTTATTTAATGAACTGTATGACATTAATTGTTCTTTTTCATTATTTTTAAGCTGTGGCAATATTGTTGTTTGAACTGAACTGAACTGAATTGAATTGAGAGAGAGAGAGAGAGAGAGAGAGAGAGAGAGAGAGAGAGGTATTATCTGATCTCTTAAAGTGTCTCTAGTCTCCTCTGTGTCTACAGCTTCATGCTTATCTGTACAGAGATGTTCCTTCAGCTCCTCTCTCCACCTCAGGCTCCTTGCTTCAGTGTCCATGTCCATGAAAAATGACACACTGACACACTATTCATTCATTTATAATTTGAAAGCTGAAGCATGCTAGTTGCATGCTGAGAAAAACTTTTAAATCTTTTCCACTATACACTTTTGATGTGATATTTTAAATCCCCCCACATTTCATTCTAGATTTATTTATTTTTTTTACTAGTTGCCATAACCTTCAGGTGCTGCATTTCTACTAAGTGTAACAACCAATTAACACCGTGAAATGTAATGCAACTTAGAAATCTCTTCTTTTTTACAGTGCAAGTGAATTCAGTCGTATCTGGGGCTCATCTGTGAGCGACAGGTCAGACTGGAACTGGTTCCCGTTTGATTGAAAGTTTAGAAAAGTTAAAGAGCCACTCTGTCTGCGGGTTTGTTTACTAAGCAAAGCTCTGGGACAGCAGGCTCTCCAGCCTTATCAGCGGATTTGTGAATGGGACAATAATGAGCTCAGTTTGATAGAGCAGCCCTTTCAGGTCACATCTCACTTCATCCATTAGTTGTTGGGGGTTTTTTTGTTTTTTTTTGATGGCTCTTGTTGATAAACTGCGCAAACGACCGCTCTATGACCAATTACCAAAGGGTTTCCAATCAGGTATGTTATTTTTAATTGGATCCTGAGAGGAACATTTTAACTGGGAGCAATTGATCGAGCTGTAGAGATTATAATAAACATTTCAAAGCTTTGTATGTCTAACAAATTAAATATTTCAATTTAACTGACTCGGTTAGTAGGCTAGTCATTTTTTGAAATACCGTTTAGATATAGCCTACATAAAGAAAAATATAAAAATTGTCACAATAAATGAAAATAAAAAATGATTTAATTCCAAGTAAGCAGATTAGTTTGTAGAATAGTTTTTGTCCCCATTTTTAAATCGTATACATAATTCACAATGTGTAGCTATTTAAAGTGTGAACTATATTTAGCTCATAATCGAAGAAAAATATAATGAAGAATATAAGAATATATACTCAAACAGCGGATTTTTTATTTGCCTAGGATTTTTTCAACAAGACAAAACTGATAATAGACGCAAGTCCATACAAAATATACATTAAAGATTTGACATTGATACATTTGATCGCTTTCTACTATACAGAACATTTGTAACCCTTCAATCACCAGCTTCCTACACCCTGTAATGAAGCCTGGAAGTGTCCGTGGTTAAAGGGCCCCTCGCTGTTACCTGTAAAATCACCCAGCTGGTTATTGGACATCTGTGCGGCAGTCACACCGGGTGCAGGTGACACACTGTGATAACTGCAGCCATACATGCTGCTGTTTCCGTATGCAAACACAGGATTATAATGTCCAAGAGTCACATTATAAGGTGCTGAATGTGAACCTGCGCTGCAGAGCATCCCGTCCCGCACCAGCACCGGCACCGCCACCCTCCTCGGCGCAGGTGGATACCCCACCAGCTCCAGAGACTTATCCTGCCTTTGGC